TAAATTATATATATAATAATATATTTTATAAATCCAGATAGCGACTGACTTACAAATGCAAAATAATATTTCCCATTCATGTCATTTGCACCGGGATGCTGCTGCCAACTGCACTTTGAGCATGTGCTTCCTGTGCATTGTGCACTGCACAATGTGCAATAAGTGTGTATTAGGTTTTCAAAAAAAAGGTGCAAGTTATTAAGTTTGAAAAAGATTGTCGCAGCGCATACTTTTTGCCTTTCGAGTAATTAGTTATTAGTACTCACAACAACTTCTTACGTTTTATTCAGCCGCTGTTTACTCTATTCGTCATTGTGCTGATCTTCAACTTCATATTGGTTTTCACAACTTTACTGTTACGGAACCTTGCGAGGAATTTCACTTTTTTCCTCCGTTATTTCTCCACTCGACCTTTAATCATGCCTAGCCTGAAAGACGTCCAGTCAAAAAACAGCATGAAGCGTCTGCTGAGCAAGGCTGGTAATGAGCTCGTCATTGCTGAATTCTACGCCACCTGGTGCGGAAACTGTACGAAGGTGGCTCCCGCTTATGAACAGTTGGCCGAGAAGTACGCGGACAGCGCCCAGTTCGTCAAAGTGGACGTGGATAAAGTTGAGAACATCCTCCCGAGTTATCAGATCACGAAAACTGTGAGTAGCATTTATGTAATCTGCCTTCTTTTTGAGTTGGCTGAAATTCCGAATTAAAAAAAATTCCTATAAAAGTGCAACTAGGTTTAAACAGAACACCCCCAGTTATTATATAATCGTAAGCCGTAAACGTATAAATTTTAACAAAAGATCTTAAAAGGGAACTCGTAAATTATGCCATTTGGTAGTCTGTAAGCACCTTAAACAATTTTGATTGAATCAAAATCAGTTTCAACTTTTTGCGCTGTTGTAATTTTATGGGATGGTGCTGTCATTCCAGTTTCTGATTGTTTACTTTAATTTTGTTACAGCCCGCTTTCGTGTTACTGAAGAAGGGAAAAATCATTGCCAAGTATCAGGGATCCAACATGGGAATGCTTGAAGCCATAATTCAGAAACATCGCGCCCCCAATAACGTTGCTCCTTTTACCAGTTATGACGAAATGTGTGCTTTCATGCGCAACAAGGCGCCTGTCCCACCGAAATATGAGCCGTTTATTCCATTCAAGAGGTTGCTTTTATGCATTGCGGGCTTCATAATTTTCGCCTTCATCTCTTCTTTTCCACCATCAGCTACTGGATCCGTCACAAAAGACGCGAACGCAGTCAAAGTTGCCTTCATGGGTTCCCATGGATCTAATGCACTCAACGATATTTTAACTTCGTGGTTTGCGCTCGCCTGGCGCATTGGGATTAACTTTGTCTTCCTGGTATTAATCCCTCTTCTGCTGGTCGTATACAACTATTATTATCGTTCAAGTGTCGGAGTTTTAATTTACAACAACTTAAGCATGCCAGTTAACTTCGTGCTTACCGGAAATTTTGATGAAAACCGGTGTGGCTTCAAGATCCAGTGGAGCAAAAAATGGAAAATCAAATCAGAATTTTTACCACAGTCCTTTGATTTTGAACTTGCTCCTGGAGACAACTTTTGCGAAAAGTTTGGCATTGTTAACTGCTCCTTGAAAATTTTTGTGAGTGACCGTTCGCGACTTTACCTGCCCGTCAAGTTTGTCGATATCAACCAGATTGATAGCGGGAAATCCATTCACGTTGGCATTGTAGGGATTCTAAATGGCGAAACGATATTGCCTTGGACTGTATTGTAAATTTGCTGGTACCTTACAGTTTTTCTTCGATCTGACGTTGGCCGCTTTGTTCTGACGGAATTTGTATCTCAGCGTTTTAATATTTTTTTGTAAAAATGATGTTGTACCTTCTGTGATTTTTTTGCTAGCATTTTGCAGCTGCATTTGTTTAGTTTTGCGCAATCATGCGAGTTGAGAAAAATGAATTTAGAACGTGAAATCGGTACTCATTAGATTCAAAACTGATTGTAATTTCAGAATACGTTATTGACAGCCTTTTTAGTCACATAGCATTCTTTTACCTATTGGGAAATATTGCAGTTAAAAACGCCAGTTTTTGCGCTAAAAGATAACCCACTTTCATGAATGAACTTAGAAATCACCAACCTAACGCAAAAGCTGGAAGGAGCCAAATTTGTAGAGCCAGGATACCTGCAAAGAATGCAATGTATAGATACAGCATGGAATTGGCGTAAAGTAAGTATCAGTCTCAAACACGCAATATGTTCCAGTCACATAAAAACGAGAAACACTGAAATGGTCATAATTAAGCAATGTACAAGTGTTTACATTTCCAATAACAACACGTGCTCACCGTGGTAAAACTTCTTCAAAGGCACTACAGATTTCCAACTGTTTGGTCGTTTCTGTGCACCACTGCACATGCATTTCTCTCATGGCGATGGCGACGGAATCATTCTATTCTGCCAGTTCACGAAAATGTTTATGCCCTACAATGTTAATGCTTAATTATGAGGCAGTGTTCGACCTGTTCGGTTCTGTAGGTTTGGAAGATGCAGGACAGAGTGCTACCGCAATAAGACACTTCTGTAGCAGCAAGTGCGCATCCCAATCCGTAGTTACCGGAATTGGCATGCCGGCTAACCTTTATACAAGCTGTTATGGTCCGGTAGGTATATAAAATACTTTGGGATACCATAGCCGGGAAGCTGATCTTATTAGTTCATTATAAACCTATTGTTTTAGTGTATATATACCTATTTCGTAGCTATAGAGTGATACTGTGAAGTGTTAATTTTTTTCTGTTTCTTTGGCTAATCAGTAGTTTGTGCTTTTTGTTAACTGAAAATGTTTTAGTAATTCGCGCAAAAAACTTTGTTGCTACAAGTATAATGAAATTTTTGTGCTTTCCTCAAGGTCATCTGTGAAATTTCTGTTAAAGACGGGTTTATCTTATCGCACATTATTATAGCGTGTCAACAGTTGATAGCAAGCAAGTGCGATTTATCGTTGATCAAACAGTTTGATTGTGCTTGCATTGCAGTAGAATTACTCATTTGACCATTTTCGTAAGTTTTAATTCTGGTGCCTCTTCCTGTGCGTGGTCGGAAAGTACTTACTTACGAAATGGGTCCAAACACCGTAATGTAAATTCGACATAAACAAGGCAAAATGCGTTTGCTTGTGCGACAAAGTATTTTCCAATCGTTTTTCATATAATTCGAGAACCTCGAATTCATCATGCGGTTCAATCCCAGTAAATCGATTATGGGATGTACGATTATTGCATTAGGGTCGTTGTCCGTCGGACTTGAAACTGGAGGTAAGAAGATCTTACTGTACTAGTTAATAGCATGCATATGATTAAACTGTATGAATAACGCAAAGGAGTACGGTAGTCCCGTATTGCGCATGTTCACGTCATATTACATTTTTACGCAGGCGGCGCCAGGCGCTGCACGGTTGAAACGGGCAAGCCTAATATAACATATGGCAGACGTAGTCTGTCTATATATTACGCAGGCGCTGCACGGAATATAACATATGGCAGACGTAGTCTGTCTATATTATATTAGTATAGGATCCAACGTGTAACTGAAAGGTTACTGAAAGGTCAGGATGATTCTGTCTGTTCTGAGCTTTTGCGTCTGTCTATCCTCTAACGGGAAAAAAAAGATGGAAAGTAAAGGACACTAAAGGTTAGCCTCTATCCTGCCTGTTCAGTTGCCGATTCTCTGTCGGATTCCCATTCGAAGAGATGCTGTACGTGTATCGCAAAGCTGAATTATATAGACTGTCGGTATGCCAACAGCAATCACAGCAATCACACAATCGTAGGGCATTCGTATTGTAATACGATAGTATCAGTGGATGACTCCCCTCATTCTCCATCCTATTTATTAGCGCTTAGAAAAAAATCATTGACCTAGAACATTTAATTGCTCGTTTCCCAGGACAAGAATGCAGTGTCCAGGCTGAGCAGGAGAATATAAAATGAAAAGGAATGCAGGTCAAGGAAACGTATTGCTGCACATCAGAATAGTTCAGACATTCCCAAATTCTAGAAATTCCACGTTAGAATTGGACAACTCGTACACAGAGTCGCAGATAACGCATTGTTCCGATTTGACTAGCATCCATGAAATTCAAATTTTCATTACGCAAATAACAAATTCTCTTGCACGGCTGCAGTATTTTAGTTTTTTTCGCATTTATTCTTATCCAATCCACGCGCCTGCGTAATGCTTCCGTAGAAAGCGTTCCGAAGGAGTTTAAAATTAATTATGTGTCCATCAACATCAAGAAGTAAAAAACATCAAGTACCGTCATCATTAGCTTCACCTGTGTATACGAGGTATATTCATGATCACTTGACATCATATTCTACTCTTCGATTGTCCCATTATGTAGTTTTGGGTCGGCAGATTCTACGCAAGTTTTTGCAGTTGTAATGGCCGGTCGCGCGGACAACCGGGGTGACACACAGCTTCACGGGCTGCATCGTGTGGCCCCGGGAATATGGGGCGGATTCATCTCCATTGTGTCCGGCGTGTTAGGCATGATGGCTGACAACCGCACGCAAATGCCGTTCAGGATACCCAAATACTATTATCCCTACTTCTGGGGTTTGGCCGTGTCATCCTTTTTGGGATTTCTTATATCTGTTATATCGCTGGGCGTCAACGGAGCAATGATAGCGAATGTCGCGAGTTATTGTTCGTCCACGAGGATCGATGCGCAGTTGTATCTCTATGTTGACCTGGTAATTACATAAGCAGGCCGGATACAATAAGCGACATGCTTCTAATAAACGAATTATGCCTTGCTGGAATGTGCGCAATATTTTATTCGAAAATAAGACATAATGGAAAAATTTTATTTGTGCTTCTGTCAAAGAACACTATATTAAATTACAACTTCATAAATGGGAGAATAAACTACGATAAACATTTTTCCCGGTTAATTAACTTATTGCTTAATAAGTTAGCGTACTATTAAACTTCCTTGGTGATATGTAGTACTTCTTAATTAAGTACTCATACTATTATGCTTTGATTACAGTTTTGCTATGGCATCGTTGCGGCGGTTATACTGATTCCGGTCTCATCGGTGTTGTTCATACTCCACGGGATATTCAGCTACTACTGCATATTGACCATTCGGCATGTGTTCTGGAACAGACAGTTCGAAGGCCGGCAACGACTGCACACGAATTCCACTACCGGTACCGCGTCCATGTCATCCATCGGCGACGACGTCAATATCGGCAGCAGACCGAAGAGGAATTTAAGCGAAGTTTCGGAAAGCTACGAGGAAGGAGTCAATCCCAATTACATAGGAGATTCTGGTGAAGCGATGCCGAACATATCGGCAGGCACGACTGCGTCTGGTCGTCAGCGCGCACCGAGTTCGCTGCAGCCGTCTTCGAGCAGAGCACATTAATTTCTGCTTTACTAACCAGGCTAGCGTCACAGGCCCCCCTCTCAGAAAAACTTCATTTTTTGCAGGATTGCAGAGTACACTAGGGTATGCTTAAAAAAATAATTTCATCTGCCATGGTCAGCAGGGCGTGGCCAAACAGAATTTAGAAGTTACAAACTTGCTATGTTATAGCCTATGGCCAATGCATTGCTTCGTACTTTAAGCACATTTACGAATTAATACGAACCACTTGAATGCGCTATCGTACGAGGCCTATGTGTGTCCAATATTCCCCGTTAACCGTTTTTGTTTCTGAAGCGGCCTGTACGTGGTACTTAACAATATTTTGTAAGAGCTAGATTAGCAGGTGTAATTGTGTAAATACTTCCATTTCCATTCGCGCTATCAGTTTTTATCACATACCGCTAGCACGAAAACCGAGGTAATGAGGACCTACAGATCATCTCTAAACTTAAAAATAATTAACTGTCATCTACTAGCCCGTTTCAGAAACGGGAAGCCGAGAACATTTAGCGCACATAAGCCTCGTACGATACCACGTGAAGTGGTTTGTATTAAATCGTAAATGTGCTTAAAGTACGAAGCAATGCATTGGCCATAGGCTATAACATAGCAAATTTTAAACTTCTAAATTCTGTTTGGCCACGCCCTACTGACCATGGCAGATGAAACTATTTTTTTAAGCATACCCTAGTGTTACTCTGCAACCCTGCAAAAAATGAAATTTTTCTGAGAGGGGGGCCGGTGACGCTGCCCTGGTAAGACCGCAACATCGTTCGCTGGCCGACTACTTTGCGCATGCAGAGTATCATGATCACAGTTTTGTAATAGAAATTGCTTTTTAGAATTGGTCAAAATTACTACGATTCATAATTGTACAGCATGTATTATGGGAATATCAGATTAAATTTTGTCATCTTTTTCTCTGTTACTTATCTTTAATACGATGCATAGCTCATTTGCATATTTAATAAAAAAAACTGCAAAAAGTCTGTCCATACTCTGCAGTAAATGCAAAGCGACCTTGTCTCTTTAAATGGCGGATGTTAAATCTTCTTCTTCCCTCGTACGAGTATATATAATAATATAAATATTAATGGTACAAAATTAAACTAATGGTTTTATAACTCGTAGGACGTAATTACTTTAACCCATAATTAAGCTGACCGCAGTCTCTATACGGAAGATTTTGAATTTCTCTCGCAGGTCACTCAAATTTACAGTACTCGTACTATAGAAATACACTATTGCATAGCAGTCTTTCTTACTTTTCTGAAAATTCATGACAATGATACTAGCTTACTTCAATTAATAAAAGAAGCTAGAATAAACGTCCCATAAATTCGGGGGGATTCGACATTCCAGACTGCCACGCCTTTTCCGATTAAAACACCCTTCCTATGGCAGTCACTTGAATAAATGGCTTGTAAGCAAAGCCAACCGCCAATTTAAGCTCCTCATGCTGTTTAAACTGCTGAACTGGTGACTACAAGTTCTGTAAATTAGTTTTTCCCTTTTTTTTGTACTCTTTGAATTCTCGTCATTAGCCTGATGCCCGCAAGATTTGCAACGGATTCATTTACTAGGTATTTGTAATGTTTAATTCCGGGAATCGCGGTCGCGGTCGTGGCGTTACAAATGCGCTGGGATCCAACCGAGGCCGAGGAGCGAGCAGCTCCTTCAACGGAGGCCGCGGAGGATTCAACTCGTCATCGAGCGCAGGCAGCGGGAATGCTCGCGGGGGGCGAGGATCAGGTGGGAATGCGAACGGGACGCCTGCTTTCTTAACCCAGTATACGAAATCGATGCCGCTTTCCAAACAAAACAGCGTGGAAGATGATGAGGAGATGGTTTACGATGCGTTCCAGGATGACTTCGAAGTCGATATGCCTGACGATGACATGGTATCTAGCGATTCCTTGACTGCTCCAGGTGAGAATCCATCTTATTTGACTTCTGATTCTTATTTGACTTATCTAATTTTAGAGGAAGTTGGGGAGCCAAATGATCTGCCATACTCCAATTATTTGTTGATATTAGACTATAGGTGCTCTTTAAACTAAAAATAAAACAGTAAATCAGTAAATGTAACAGTAAATCTATTCCAAATTGTGAAAGTGTGATACTTAAAACATTTGTTTTCGTTGATATGTATGTTTGTAAATGTAAAAGAGAGCCCGTATTTAATTTGTATCACCTTATCGCTTATATGTACAGGCTTGCAGCTAGCCATTAAAAATTGATGGTTGATGTTTTTGCAGTTGCATAATCAGTAATATGTCGGTTTTTTGCGAACGCCCGGATGCGGCTCGATTTCGCAGAATATTTTATTTGAGAAATGACCGGAAAATATTTTTTTCATTTAGATCAAGGAACGGATTCACTCGATGGGGCACTGTCGAAGGCGTGGGGCCGTCCTCAGGTTGCCGAGATTGATCCGAGCCGCGACACTCTGGTGTTTCAGCAGGTGGAAGTCGATCACACCATCGAATACGCGGTGCCCGGCCTTTCCAGTTTTCAGGGCCAGGGTCCCGTGATTCGCTTGTTTGGCAGCACGATGGATGGACGGAGTGTACTCTGCCATGTTCATGGATTTCACGCTTATTTTTACGTACAAATCCCGGATGATATCGAACAGGCTAAAACTTTGCAGTACAGCAAACAGTTTCATGTAAGCTGCCTGAAGTTATACTGCATTGCGTACACAGATGCAAGAACGAGCGTGTGGCCTGAGTAAAAAAGGAGGATCACTTTTTTATGTTTACTAGTTCATTAACTGTGTGTTTGTTCTAGTTGATCAGGGTTTGTTTACTGATATATTTTAGTAAATGGAATTTTTCGGAATAAAATTAGTGCAGTGAGAATACTCTTGCAGTGTATTTGACTGATTCCATAAACTAATTGCTGGTTACAGACGGGTCTGAACAGGCGGTTGATGCAAGAAAGCACCGTTTCCCGCGCACTCAGCTCTGGCTCTCAAGGAGCTGCTTCCGGTGTGGCTGTGATTCAAACGGAAGTCGTCAAGAAACAGGATTTGTATGCCTTTCATGGTGGTACTAACGAAACGAGAAATTTCAAGCGATTCCTCAAAGTTATCGTGGCACAACCGCGATTTATAGCACCGGCGAGACGAGTGCTGGAAGACGGCTCTTTTGGTCGCGTGTTTGTAACGTACGAGAGTAACGTGGAGTTTGAGATTTGTTACATGGTGGATGCTGAAGTATACGGCTGCAACTGGATTGAGTTACCTGCAGGAAAATACAAAACTCGAACGACCTCCAGTAAAGTAATACAAAGTGACTTACGGGATTAAAAATCCGTGAAATCAACCTTTATGAATTTCACAGTTTTGAATTACCTTAGAAATTTGTGATAAATAAAATACTTTTGGGCTCTTAGTGATTTTTAGCGATTTGTTTGGCCATGCTTTGCTTCCGTTCTTAAATTCCCATATTTGTTTGCTGTTAGTGAATTTTTTGTTAATCAGCTTGTACTGTAGCTTAATTTCATCGCAATTTTGTAGTTTAGTCCAGAATTTCAAAGTGGAAAGGCTACAGTATCGCGCTGTCAGATCGAAGTGGACGTCAAGTGGGTAAACATGAAGTCTCATTACCCGGATGATGAGTGGAGCGGTATGGCGCCCTTTCGTATCCTAAGCTTCGATATTGAATGCGCCGGCAGGAAAGGAATTTTCCCGGAGCCCAATTGCGATCCTGTCATACAGATTGCCAGTATGGTGCAGCGAAATGGGGAAAAGGAACCCTTTATCCGTACCGTTTTCACACTGAAGAAATGTGCACCCATTGTTAACTCCAAGGTAATTTAAGCATCGGTGCAGTTTCACAAGATCTTGTAATGAAGATCAATTCAAGCGGTGTGAAAAGCCATAGTTCGTTATTTCCAGTATTTTTATTTGACAGTGTGAACTGCTGCAGTGGATAAAATAATTACACACAAACTGAATTCGTACTAGAATTTGTAAAGGGGATAAATATTATTTGTCGCGTGGGTAAGAGGATTTCTAGTGGTAAATCGGTTATGGAACTTGATGGAATTGGTAAAAGGTTTTTGGTTTTATAGGTAATTTGCTTTGAAACCGAGGAAGAACTCTTGGACCATTGGGCTACATTCGTCCGTTTGGTGGATCCGGATATCGTTACTGGTTATAACATCCAAAATTTCGACTTTCCGTATTTAATAGATCGTGCTGCCCACTTAAAGCGTAGTAGATTCCCATTTCTCGGGCGTCTGAAAAAGACCGTCACGCGTGTTCGCGAAGTTCAGCTGCAATCCAAGCAAATGGGTGCTCGCAAAAACAAGTTTTGCAACATCGAGGGACGAGTAACTTTTGATTTGTTGCAAGTTCTTCTGCGGGATTACAAGCTCCGCTCGTACACTTTGAATGCCTTGAGCTACCACTTCCTGCAAGAGCAAAAGGAGGATGTGCAGCATACAATCATTACGGACCTGCAGAACGGGAATGAGCACACGCGCCGACGCTTGGCAGTGTATTGTTTGAAGGATGCCTGGTTGCCGTTAAGGTTGATCGACAAGCTGATGAGCTTGGTAAATTATATGGAAATGGCCAGAGTGACCGGAGTACCGCTGTCCTATTTATTAGCACGAGGCCAACAAGTCAAAGTGGTGTCGCAGCTGCTTCGAGCGTAAGCTTTCATGTGTGACTTAGGAAATGATTTTCAAGTAGATATTTTCGGAAAACTTTTTATGCTCTTCTGTCAGTGAAGTAGAGAAGAAAATGTGCTTTTATGGACTACGTTTCCATAAAGCAAGCCCTTGAAAATTGAGATCGTTGTACAATATTCGATGTTAAATTAGATGCTTTTGCAGAGCGGCAAAAGAAGGCTACGTGATGCCTGCAAGACATGTTCAAACTGGCGACGAATTCACCGGTGCTACAGTGATTGAACCAAAAACTGGTTAGTGGTTACTACACGAAGCCTATCGCAACGTTGGATTTTGCTTCGCTGTATCCGTCTATCATGATGGCGCACAATCTGTGTTATACCACCCTGATTGAAAAAGGAAAACTGTCTGAACTAAATCTTTCACCTGAGGAATTCATAAAAACCCCATCCGGAGATATGTTTGTTAAGGCCACCGTGGTCAAAGGATTGATGCCTAAGATTTTGGAGAACCTGCTGGCTACGCGAAAGAAAGCAAAGGCTGATCTAGCCAAAGAAACCGATCCGTTGCGGAAGAAGGTGTTGGACGGAAGGCAGTTGGCACTGAAAATCAGTGCTAATTCTGTTTATGGTTTTACAGGTACTTTACAAGTGATATCAAGAAACCGCCGCGGAATCTATGAGTAATTCCATTAAATAATACCTTTTCTCCATGGAGATATGTATTTCCTAATTAATGTAAATTCGAATATGTAGGGGCTCAGGTCGGGAAGTTACCATGTTTGGAAATTTCCGGCAGTGTGACGGCATTTGGACGTTACATGATCGAGGAATCCAAAAAGCATACGGAAGCGCACTTCACGAAAGCCAATGGTTTTGCTCACGATGCGGAAGTCATTTATGGTGACACGGACTCTGTCATGGTCAGTTTCGGAGTGGACACACTGGAAGAAGCCATGAAGTTAGGGCGCCAAGCAGCGGATATCATCACACAGAAGTTTGTTAAGCCGATCAAGCTGGATTTTGAGAAGGTGTATTTTCCGTGTCTGCTTATTAACAAAAAGCGCTATGCGGGATTGTACTTCACTAACACTGAAACTCACGACAAAATGGATTGCAAAGGTAAGCAATGCTCTGCGACGAGAGTAGTTGCTTGCATGTAGTTTTCTCATCGATCGTAACTGTGAGCCTTACGTCAGCTAGTTGGCTGTGGCCTTTATCTCCGTATATTGCTAATGAATTATTCTCAGCAACTTGTTTTGAAAGCGCATTTGCCAGTCATTGTTTTATTTTTGGCTAGTAAGGTTGAGATGAATTAACGGAGATTTTTAATTTTTTAATAATGATGTTGTACTGTTGTAGGTATTGAAACCATCCGCCGTGATAACTGCCCGCTCGTGGCCAATTTAATCAACATGTGCCTCGAAAAACTCCTGATTGATGAAGACAAAGAGGGCGCAATCTCGTATGCTAAACAGACCATTTCCGATCTGTTATGCAACCGTGTGGATATATCTCAATTGGTGATAACCAAAGAACTGACGAAGAAAGACGGCGAATACAAAGCGAAGCAGGCGCATGTCGAACTGGCCCACCGTATGCACATACGCGATGCCGGCTCAGCGCCCAATCTAGGCGACCGTGTGCCGTACGTGATCATCGCCGCCGCCAAAGGCACACCGGCCTTCGAAAAGTCCGAGGATCCCATCTACGTTCTAGAGAATAACATCCCCATCGATACGCAGTACTATTTGGAAAATCAACTGTCCAAGCCGTTAGTGAGGATCTTCGGGCCCATCCTGGGCAGCGAAGACAAGGCGGAGTCGGTGTTACTGCGTGGTGATCACACCCGGACGAAGACGATCGTTACGTCGAAGGTGGGGAAGTTATCTGCGTGGACGGTGGCCAGGGCGTCGTGTATCGGCTGTAACTGTAAGGCGGTGCTGAAGGATCAACGAGAGGCCTTGTGTGAGCACTGCCAGAAGAACGGTGGCGAGGTTTATCAGAACCAGATAGCGGATTTGTGTCAGATGGAGGAGAAGTATCATTCCATGTGGGTGCAGTGTCAGCGCTGTCAGGGCAGTTTGCACCAGGATGTTATCTGCACCAATCGGGATTGTACTATTTTCTACATGCGGAAAAAAGCGCAGAAAGATTTAGAAGAGCAAGGGAAGATAGTGCAACGGTTTGATTATGGGGAATGGTAATTGGATTTTGAAAAATGCCGATGAAATGTACGTACTGACGATAATTTGGCTCCTTCCACTTTTCGCGTTAGCTTAACGACTTTTAACAGAAGGCGTTTTTCATTGCGTTATTTGCTGCTGCATGAAAGTATACCTTGAGAATAACAATACGTATGGTGTCATAAATGTTTTCCGAAATCACAACTCAATTTAAAATTCTGGACCAAATTCACGTTCAACATTCATTTTTTTCAACTCTCACGAGTCACGACTACATAAACCAAACATAAGCACTCCCACTATGCCCACGTAAATGGATTTCTCACTATCAATTTCATTAATATCCAAATTAATATCCATTGATTTCACGGGTAGGCCACTTGATCGCTTAAATCCCCATCTATTTTTACCAAAATTTCCGGTCAGTACGAAGTTAACGGGAATGCTCAAGTTGTTGTAAATTAAACTCCGACACTTGAACGATAATAATAGTTGTATACGACCAGCAGAAGAGGGATTAATACCAGGAAGATAAAGTTGATCCCAGTGCGCCAGGCGAGGGTAAACTACGAAATAAGATATAACTGAGTGCATTAAACCCATCTGAACCCGGGAAAGCGATCTTACCGCGTTCGCCTCTCTTATGACAGATCCAGCAGCTGGTTGGGTAAAATACGATATCACGACGAAAATTATGAAGCCCGCAATGCATAAAAGCAACCTCTTGAATGGAATAAACGGCTCATATTTCGGTGGGACAGGCGCCTTGTTGCGCATGAAAGCACACATTTCGTCATAACTGGTAAAAGGAGCAACGTTATTGGGGGCGCGATGTTTCTGAATTATGGCTTCAAGCATTCCCATGTTGGATCCCTGATACTTGGCAATGATTTTTCCCTTCTTCAGTAACACGAAAGCGGGCTGTAACAAAATTAAAGTAAACAATCAGAAACTGGAATGACAGCACCATCCCATAAAATTACAACAGCGCAAAAGTTGAAACTGATTTTGATTCAATCAAAATTGTTTAAGGTGCTTACAGACTACCAAATGGCATAATTTACGAGTTCCTTTTAAGATCTTTTGTTAAAATTTATACGTTTACGGCTTACGATTATATAATAACTGGGGTGTTCTGTTTAAACCTAGTTGCACTTTTATAGGAATTTTTTTAATTCGGAATTGACCAACTCAAGATAACTCGATGTTCTCAACTTTATCCACGTCCACTTTGACGAACTGGGCGCTGTCCGCGTACTTCTCGGCCAACTGTTCATAAGCGGGAGCCACCTTCGTACAGTTTCCGCACCAGGTGGCGTAGAATTCAGCAATGACGAGCTCATTACCAGCCTTGCTCAGCAGACGCTTCATGCTGTTTTTTGACTGGACGTCTTTCAGGCTAGGCATGATTAAAGGTCGAGTGGAGAAATAACGGAGGAAAAAAGTGAAATTCCTCGCAAGGTTCCGTAACAGTAAAGTTGTGAAAACCAATATGAAGTTGAAGATCAGCACAATGACGAATAGAGTAAACAGCGGCTGAATAAAACGAGTGAATCATAAATGGCAGGATCTTCACTATAGAAGTATACAGCTTTTATTGGTCAAATCAATGCCACAATAAACCAATTCGAAGGAAAAAAACACGCTAAACTATAACACTATCTTCGCTCCCGTCCTACAGTAGTTGTTATACTTCGTTTCAAAATGCAAAGCTCGTGTTAGTCGTGTACAACAGCGAAACAGCCTTGCCAGAGAGAAAGATGTAAACAGTACTACGTAGTACTTGAATTTTTTGTGGTTCGAACTCAGTCGGCTCTGAACTGCAAAATGCCTAAGTCGCTTCTTGACCGCCCGATTAGGAAAAATGCGGGCACGAACTGTTTGCACTAGGGTTGTTGATACCAGCCCTTGGACAGCTTGAGTGGTATTGGTAAATTGGTATACCAGGTTTTACCACTGGTATACCACTTAGTACCACTGGTATTACCAGAAATATTTGGTATTATAATTATGCTGTGGTATTTAATTTTTTTTCGTAAAAAATAAATCCGCTTAAAGTTTCAAGCGGTAGAAAAGTTACTGAACCTTCGTACCATTGAACAATTCAAAAAGTAAATGAAAAATCCGTAAATTTTACAAGAAATAATTTCAATTTCTGCCGAATACCCCGATATGGCGAAAACAACACCAGATCCGGACTTAGATTTTCATTGATTCGGATTCCTTACTCGAACTACATGACTTGTATTAGCAGCTGGATTCGTGACAAAAAGACAACAGTAGTTTCTTCAGCCAGTTTTTGGAACGAAACAAATGACACTGCCCCATAAAAAAATCGCAAAGGCAAATTGTACTTTGAATGTAGACTTCTCTCGTGGGATTCCAGATCGCTTAATTGCCATGTTGTGAGTAGCAACACGCTAATGTCTAAGCTGCAGCTGACTTTAAAACTTCAGGTAGTAGCTAGCGAGTCACTAGCGACACATTTAGGGTGCGTCTCCAATTTGAAGCGAATCTAGCTTTGGTACCGTTGCTCAACCGCACGAGGTGGCTATATGCAGTGGCCACGCCTACAGATACGGTACGCGAAGCCACCTCGCGAGGTGGAGTTGCTGTATCGCAACGAGATTCGCTTCGAATTCTACGTAAGCCTTAGCAACCAAACTTTGGTATCTATAGATCATTCAATAGCGCTGCGATCATAGATTTGCAGAAACGGGTTAGTTTTCTCAAACTATTTGAGACTTAAAAGAAAATTTTAAAAAAACATACCATACAAAGTCTACGGGAAAAGTCAAGAACCCATCACTGCAAAGCCAACCACGCCACCACTGTCTCCAACAGAGTGAGAGTCTGTGAGACAGCCAGAAACGCAACTCCGACAACTCCGCTGAACAGTACACAAAATTAAATTCGAACTTTTGCGTATGTCATTTGGAAGCTTTTGAGCTTATTAATTTTTCGTCGAAAGTCAGTAAATGAAAGGGCTGAAGGAAGATTTTCAAAGGGCTCACATTCACTGTGGAGAAGCGGGGACTGAAGATCTGCAGAATGCAGATAAAGTAGCTGCCAGCCGAATCGGTTTGAACAGTTTTCAATTCAATGCTCCCACGGGCGGGTACGATTGTCTTTGTTGCCGAAAATCATCTGACCCCTTCTGAGAACAAATTTTTCGAATGTTATAGAACTTTTTAAAAAAAGAATCGTACGTGACGCTTGGTTATAAAATGATTATGCATTACATTTACACAGTATAAAACACAATGAGACGGTTTGGGGCCTTGGATTAACTACCGGATGTCACAACAGTTGCAATAAAATTTTAAATAATTGTAGTTATAATGTTGCGTATAAACTATCAAAATAACAACGACTACGCATTGAAAATAATAGTTATGGCTGAAGACATGATGATTATTAATCGGGAAGTAAAAACTATAACCAGTAATGGAAGGCAAGGACAACAGCGGTTGTGAATCAGTTGATTTTGCTATCACCAGGCCGACTGAAATTAAAAAAATCGCAAAAGGGGCAAGCAGAAGTAATTTTGGGGATAAAACCGAGCGGAGTTTGCTTGGTGGCTGATCAGGTAAAACTAAAATAATTTGTTAGAAAGTTGCACAAAAAAACAGAACGTTTCCGGAATACCAAAGTTCATATTTTTGATGTCCCGACTTTCCATTTAACGGACCGAGAATACTTATTTTCACTGTAAATGTTCATCACATAATGTTATCGGTAGAATTGTGAACTTACAGACAGCTCGGAGTAGATATTGTCAGTGAGGTAAAAAGGAAGCGTGGGCCGTGGATTGATTGTCCTTTTGTCATTACACTTTACAGTATTTGCAAGTCAAATTAAATTATTTTAATTTTTATTTTTAAAAGCCACATTAATTTTGCAGTAATTGTGCAGTACGTTGATTTGTTCCGCGCAGTTTGCGCGGGGTTTAGTAGTCCCAATTTTGAATGCGCTCTTCTGTACAAAAAAATTAGCAGATACCCTTCCAGTTCTACATGTGTTCAGATGACCGCACTCGTGCTCAACTACCTGGAAGGAATATGATCGTAACAATATTGATTTTAAAGTATGCCGCACTTACTTGTTCTCAATTACCTTTCACTTACTATAATATTTGCATCTTTACCTTATATAGTCTTCGTTATCCCAAATTCGAAGTTTCATTTAAAGAACAGTTTCAAAAACAATACTTCAAGCAACTGCATCGATTATTTGGCTTGAAAATAACGTGAAATACTTGCTCAAAATGTATTAAGAGTTATCAAATTTGAGATTGCTCAGATTTGTTTCACCTGTTAATTCTTCTCCTAGTGCAGTTTCAACGTTGTCGGGTGGGGAGAGTTACTTCGCTGACCACTGCTGAACTTTTGAAACCACCCTGACAAGACTCAATTTTAAATCTGACGTTGTATAACTTTGATTTGGATACAACCGCTTCTCAAAGCAACGGAAAAGATTTAGTTTGTAGTCCGAGCAGCGGTTTTTCTTTATGGGTGCAATATACTGTATCCTAACCCTGAACTTGAAGGAAATTTGTACAGTGCAGCCACATGCACTTGTACGACCGCATTCACCATTCACATACACGGCTTGCAGCTAGTGCATGTTAGAACGTGAATCGGCTGAACGTTTATCCGGCTATACAGCACCGCGCCGCTCATAGCGTACAAATTTCCTTCAAGTGCAGGGTTAGTGTACAAAAAATTTCATTTTATCAGATACAGATATGCTGGTTAGAAGCAAATGATTGGAATCATAAGGCGGTGAGCGATATCAGCACTAGACGCAGAAAATAAGGAGATCCTACAGCATATATCTATATCTGTGTTACAGTGTCGCTCGTACATAACGTACACGAAGTGCAGCACCGCAACACCGGCAGAGCAGAGCGCAAAAGTGTATTCGCGACTCCCTAAACCGGATTTCCTAGGTCTTACAGTCTTAAAATTTAAAATTACTTAAAGGATTTTCGATAATACCATATGCGATTTGAAATATCAAACTTTATTTGGTATATCTGGTATTAAATCTTACCATCCGATGCCGGTCTGATATACCATTGGTAAATGGTATATCAGCCGTACGGCCCGTACCACAATACCATTTACCATTTAGTATCAACAACCCTAGTTTGCACAATTCATTACTAGTGGTGACCAGAAACAAGCGAGT